CAGTAACATGATTCATTATAACATAAGTTAAAGACAAACCAGTTGCTTAGGAGAGTCATATTTATTTTGGATACTAGTACTGAAAAAAGTTCTGGGGAGGGTACTTCCTACTCTCAGGGATTACCTGTTCTATTGTTCATCTCAAGTAGCATAGCTAATTGAGTGTCCACAAACAGTGAAAAGAAACATTCTCTTCATATTAATGAAAACTGAGTCTAATTCTTAAAATAGCTAAGAATCCTTATCTCTCTCGTTATTAACTGGGTGTAGTAACACTTCCTTCCAGCAACCACATTTACACGGAAAAGAATGGAAACGACACACATTACTTTAGTTCAAAAGAGTTCAGAGCACACAAGATTAAATAAAGGAAATAATTTTAAAACTTAGGTCAAATCTTGAGTTTTCTCTTATGAGCTGGTCTGAGTTGGACTTCCTTTGAAGAGAGCCTCCTGGATCTCTTCCATGGGGATGGAGAGCAAAGTGAGCAATGGGCCTTATCACATCACTCTACAGAAGGGTTCTCAAGTGGCAGAACACAGTATTCACATTCGGAGGAGTCAAATATTTACACATTTTTCAAATGTTAAATAAGTGATTGTGATGTGGCTTTTAAAAACAACGAATTAGCCTGGATAAGGACTGGTCAGTGACCTTGTTGAAAATCTTTTGTATTAATTAATTTAATTACTTCATACAAAATATAATAAATGAACATAGGCTATCACATGCAACTAGCAAAATGGACATTCAGCTTATATTTAACAGGAAAAAATTATAGTATCAATATTGACACAATGGCAAAAATGCCGTAATTTGTTCCAACGTAATTAATGGATAAATTCTAGATTGGAAGAGTGAGTACAACATCAACAAATTTCAACAATGAATAAGAAGATTGTGGGAAACTTTAAATCTGAGAATATGAGTATCTGACAACATAAAAGATAAGAGAATTCTAAAGCAATTAGCTAATGAAAATGAGAGAGCCAAAGTCAATCAAATCTGTGAACATAAATACTTATGAAAGATTCAGAAAATCTTAAATCAATTGTAATGTAGCCACGTTGTACAGTCATAAAATCACTAACATCTTATGGTTTTTAGCATTGAAAAAAATGTATTAGAAAACTCCCAAATGAAAATTTAAAAAGAATGACATGGGGAAGAGCGTTTACAAGTATGACACAAACACAGAAGCTATACAAGATAAGACTGATGAATTTAACTACATAAAAATATTTTAAAATTTTTGGCGTAGTAATATACATCAAAAGCAAAGTTAAGAGACAAATGATAAACTTGGAAAAATATTTGTGACTGAAATCACAAAAGATAATACATATATTGATAGATGTATATTCTACAAAGCAAAAATAAATGACCAAGAACCTAAAAAAAGAGGTAAACGATATCTTTGGAGAGTTCATGGAAAAGGAAATATAAATAGCTTGAGCATATTAAAGACATAATTTCATTTAAAAGAAATAAAAATGAAAACTACTGAGATACCACTTTTTGCCTAGGAATATCGAAGATAAAACATGTTGACCAGTATATAGGGAGATGGGCACTGTCATACACTGTAATTTAATAGAAACTCTGTGGAAGACAATTTTAAGAATACACACACACACACACACACATACACACGTATATCTGACTGTTTGATCCAACTTTTCTACTTTTAAGAATTTATAATGCAAAGGTAAAATGACCCATGCAAAGGTTAATTGAAGCGTTGCTTATAACAGAAAAAGAATCTAAATGTTTATCAGTAGGGAGCTGGCTAAATACAACCATACAATGAAATGATACATGATTGTACAAAAAGAACAGGCAAGTTCTTTATGAACTGATACTGAATGAGCTCCAAGATGCATGAAAAAAATTGAGGTGCAGATTACTGAATACAATATTCTACTAGTTGCATAAAAGATGGGGGAATACATATGTGTATATACACACATTTATATATATAATATATATACACATACACACATTTTCTTGATAAACACAACATATCTCTGGAGGTATACTCAAAACTTGGAAGATTACACAGGAATAACTGATTGTCTCTGAGGAGGAGAACTCGATGGCTGGGGAGAGCATTTTCCTTGTATGCCCTTTATTAAGAATTGAATTTTATCTGTATGAATGAATTACAAGTCGAAAAACTAAAGTGCACAAGTTGCCTCCCATCTATAACATCATCTCCCACTCCTGCCCTCAGATAACCTTCACGCTCACCAATGAGTGGTATGAAGTCAACCTCATCAGTATTCTTCTCTGTAATAGACACGAGGCACATGTCTATTATAAAGCTAGTTTAATGAAACCAACATCTAAACTCAGTTTGAAGAAAAAGTCCATTGGGTCTCCAAGATGGAGAAACTGTGAGCTCTGAGCCTCAACAACAACCGATTCAGAGTTTAGAAATGAAAGGAAGCAGAAATATGGGATTAAAGTTAATGATAGTTTAGGATCCGCTAGGGTTGTATTTTTTAGTAGCAAGAACATTCCTGGGTTCTTGAAATCAGGAAAAATATTCAGTGAATGGCAGGGAAAAAAAGCCTACATTATCAACAAACTAGCCCCAAAGAGATTAAGCATGAGACTCTAAGTACCCCAACAAGTAAGTGTGACAGATTTTTGAGGTTCAGTGGTGTCCTTTAAAAAGCAGAGACAGACCAGGAGGGAGCATGAGAAGAAAGGAATTAGGAGTCTTCTTTTCTCCTAGAGCCTGTTCTTGTCCTGTTAAGAGCATTAACCAATATTCAACAGAAGCAGTGCTGTTAAAATTCTTTTTTATGAAATGGATCTAGGAGTTCACTAAACTGAAAAGTATTTCAGGTTAAAAAAAATGCCAACTGTGCAACCCAAATGATTAAAATTATGGAAAGTAATCTTTGAAGACAGAAGGCTGAAAGTGGTCTGTAAATTTAACTAAGAATAACAGCAGCTAACTCTCATTTTTCTACATTGAAAAACCATCAATGATGAGTTTGTCCTCACACTGGTTAGACCCCATAGCAAACTTCTTGATATAAATAGAAAATTGGTGTGGTGATGGATTGTAATTAGTATTTGGGTGGTGAACATGAGAACATGATGTAATCTATGCAGAAACAGAAGTATAATGACGTACACCTGAAATTTATACAATGTTATAAACCAATGTTACCACCAAAAAAAAAAAAAAAAAGAAATAGAAAATTTATTGTAAACCAGAACTTGGTAGAGGTGAAAGAGATCTTGGTCTAATTTCCTAAAAATATCAAGGAAACTGAGACCCAGAGAATGGTCCCAAGTGACCCAAGTGGTTAATGGTAGAGTTAGATCTGCTTGGTCTTGTGCTTATTTTTGCCTTTAAATATTTTAAAAAACACTGATAACCACTGATTTTAATGGGTCTCAAAGCTGTACAGGAAGGCAGAGGGCTTATTTAGAGAAGACTTTATTTGCCCATGGATTTAACCCCTTTAGAAGTACAATAAATTTGGTGTGTGCATGTGTGAGTATATGAGAGAAGTGGTATTTATGATGCTGGCTGAATATTCTCTGGAATATCAAGTCATCATGCCAAATGCTGGGCCACTCTCTAAGCTGAAATGTTTCCAATTGCTTGCAAATTCTATGATAAAAATCAAAGACTCCGAAAGCCAAGAAACAGATCCACTGTTTCTGCAGTGTGTTTTGTCAACTCTATTTGAGCCCTGTGGGCCAGTCTCAGAGGCTGAATTTTCTTATCTAGGAAATAGGACCAGTGACGTCAACTCAGATTCACTTGGGTGTTCTCAGGCATGCATCAAGTGGATACCACTGAAAGTCTTAGCACATAAATATTGCTAGGTAATAGTGATGTCCAGAAAAATAGTTGTGGATAGGCAATAATGGAATAGTTAATAAACACGACCATTCTAATATTCTTATTGTTTCTATATGATTGTCTCAAGTCTCCAAATTTCCGAACATCTTCTGAAACTGAAGGTATAGAAAAGCATACTTAAATGGTACAAAATGTTAGCATAATAATATGGTATCTGTGGTCATATCTACAAACAGCTGTACTGCCATGGTTAGCAGTACAAATTCTTATCTTTTGCCTAAGGAGTAAATACATTCATTCCTACAGTAATGAATGCAGGACAGAAGATTTCACCAGAATGAAATCATGTAGCATCAAGTGTATTTAATGTAACACTTTGTTAAACGGAGTATTCCCCAAACCCAAGGCACCTAAAAGTTTAATTCAGGAGACTTTGAGGGTGGGGGGAGGGAGGAGGATTATGAGTGAGAAATACTTCAGTGGAAAGTGAACTTTTCTTTAAAGAAGCAAGGTCCCAATTTCTTGAGCACTGCAAGCAAGGTATCGCAGGTTTCTGTAAGTTTTCCTGGAAGAGAAATGAAGTCAAGAAATAACACTTCTGAGGATAAGCCAAAGCTATTGGAAATACCCCTTTCACTCCCGAAATTGAGGGCGCGGCTTAACTTCAGCCGTGATTACAGATCTTTCTATAAAACAAAGCCAAGACGTAAATTAAAAAGTGGCAGAGGTGTGGCATCTTTCGGGATGGGGCTCAGGTTTAAACTCCTCTTGTCGGAAGCAGCAGTCCGGCCGGCCGGGAGCACGCGAAGGAAGGTCTAGGAGAAGCCATCAGGCAGAGCCTTCTGTAGGAAGGTCGGCGCCGAGGTTGGAACCGACCCTGGAGCGCCCGAGAGGACGCCTTGGAGGTGAAGACAGCTGGGCTCCCCGGCCCAGCACGGTCAGGGGGCGCCCCCACCCCAGCTATTCTTCAGTTTAGCCACCCGCTCCGGAAAAGCCCAGAGGGGATTCGCCTGGGGTTAGGCTAGCTGGAGGCCGTCAGCGCTCTTTAGGACCTCAGGGAAACCCGAGAGTTTCTGGCTTTAGGACCCAGGAACTCCGAGGCAGACTTGACTTAGATGCCTTGGACCACAGCACCACCTACTTATAGAAGCATCCCGAGCTTCAGCCCGGTTGCATCTCCATCGGAAAGTGCGCTCGTCACATCCCTTCGGCCTCCCTGGAGCGTTCTGTCTCCCACCACTTGGAAAGGGAGAAACCTTAGCTGTGAAGTGGTTGTGGAGAGAGCTGGGGAAAGCGCACAATTGGATAGGGAGTCAGAGAGCGAGAGCGGGCGTGCCCCTCGCACGAGGATTGCACTCACCGGCGGGGACGCAGCATCCCACAGACTGCGGACGCCCCCGCCCCGCTCCACTCCTGCTAGGAGCCGCCAGTCCAGAGGACCTTCCGCGCACTGCGGCCCCGCGGCTGCTGCCGGAATCCCGGAGCTGCCAGGCGCGCCAGGCGGGTCTCGGCAAACTTTTCCCCAGCCCACGTGTCAGCGGGGCGGCTCGCTTCCCGAGCCCGGGATGGAGCGCCGCGCCTAGGCACGCCGCACCGCCGGAGACGTGAGTGCTCACGGTAGGCGACCCGCGCCCAGCCACCGCGGCCACGGCGCTTGGGTACGCCGCCGTGGGATCAAAGGGCCGAAGAGCGCTCCTTTAACCCTGCGCCCTCGGTGCCTTTGGAGCTCTTTCCTTTCCCTGGAGCGGCCGCACAACGCCCTTTTCCCCGGGTCGGAGTCTATAGCTCGGCAGAGCTAGCTAATTCACTGATTGTAATCACCTTCCTCTCCAAATAGCCGGCAGCTGCGAGCTCGGGGTTAAGCTGCTCCGCGGCTCGTGCCAGGCAGTGGGTTCTCTTCCCCGACTCCCTCCCCTTCTTAAATTGGGGCGCGCGAAGAAGCAGCTGCCTCCCCTGGGTTCTCTCTACCCCTTCACCCACCCTTTTTCTCCTCCTTGTCTCTCAGGTTCAAGGAGGAGAGATGCTGATCGCGCCAAACTGACCAGCGCAGCCCCTGGGCTAGTGGCGACTCGCCCTCTGCGTTTTCCGCAGCAGCGCGGTTGGTGCCGGCTCCTCGCATGAGCCCTCTAGTTCCCTGACTTTGAGAGGCGTCTCTCCCCTGCCCGACCGCCCAGATGCAGTTTCGCCTCTTCTCTTTTGCTCTCATTATCCTGAACTGTATGGATTACAGCCACTGCCAAGGCAACCGATGGAGACGCAGTAAGCGAGGTGGGTCCTACTCTGCTAGAGGTGCGTGGGGTCGGGTCGCGGCACTCACGCCTGGGCTCCTGGGGCTCGGATGGGCAGGACGGAGTCCTCCACCCGTTTTGCGAGCCACCGCTTCCCACTTTCCGGCCCCGGAGCTCTGCAGAACGCTGTCTTTTCTGCCCTCAGAAGGCGCAGCGAGCAGGGGTGTGACGCACGGAGAGCGGAGTGAGCCTGGCGTCCGGCGGGTGCTCTTGGCTAAGGGGTGGAGTCCGTACCCACGTTCGTCGCCGCGCTTCTACTCCTGAACTCCTCTCTTTCGGTCTCATTTCTTATGTGGCATCCATTTTTCTTGTTCTCCGTGTTTCTTTGTAGTCCTCAACCATCTTCCCTGCAGCTCATATGTCTCCACCTTCCCCACCCACGTGCGCCCCAAATCTTGACCCCAGATCGCTTTGGACACAGCCTGGTAGCGCGCGCGCGCGCGCACTGTGAGTGTGAGAGAGAGGGGAGAGAGCGAGCGAGCTGGGGAAGTGTACCAAGTCGAGGTGGAGGACTTGCATTTCCAGGAAAAGGGCAACTTTGATCTCTTTTTCTGGAACCTAAGACTAAATGGAATGACTTACTGAACTTTCTGCATTGAGCAGCAACTTGTGTGCAGGTTTTCTGGGGAGCGCTTGCCTGCAGAGTGATGTTTTGGGGACAGGCCTGACTTTGCCCTCTCCATTTACTTCCGTCAAAAGCGGCTGTTTCTGAGAGGTTTCTCTTAATGAAATTCACTTGCGGCTTTTTAACCGCTCCCTCCCTCTCCATCACTTGTGTGCGCTGAGGGGAAGGCGAGTGGAAGCCTCCAGAAAAGTTTCTGAGAGCTAGCTTTCCTGCAGATTTAGTGCGCGCGTGTGTATTTCTGTCTAAGTCCTGCTGTGGCTGCAGTTAATCCAACTGCATTTTAGGGGAAGGGCTGCTAAATACTATTAAGCCTTCTAGGGGGTAAACACAACCTCCAACACACACATGTACCCAGCCCTTGCGTTACCGCCTGGAAGGTGCATGGCAGCCCCTGAGAGCTATGTGTCTGCGTCTAGCTATTTGGACTTTTACGCGGTTAGCATTCGTCATGAGGTTAACAGACCTCGATTTTTCTGGGATATAAAAGTCTCACGCGGCCTGCGATGTGACTTCTTTATAACTCATTTTGTGGAATCTCGGGTCTTGCACCCCGATTTTGGAAAGAGCTTTTCGAGCCCTAATTTTTCATAGCTTTTTAGGACGTCGTTAAACTGTTCTCACCTACCCACAGGGCTGGAGGTTGGCAGGCCCAGGGCCTACGCTGGAGGTGCGACTTCGGGAGCCCTGCTCTCCCATCTACACTACACACCTGTGGCTTATAAGTAGGATACCCCTTTCTCTTATTTCTGACATTTGGAAAATGCTTACTTTCAGAAGTTATTCCACATAAAAATACTAGGGAGAAATTCCTTCCCAGAGGCCACGAAAGTTCAATGTTGGTATTAGTCTTGGAAAAGTCCCTTTCCATCTCCTTCTTCACTTCCCCTCCCCACTGGCTCCTTTCTTCACCCTAGTATTTTCTTTCAAGGTATTATTCCCGAGAGCTGGCAACTTTTGATTACACTGTGGTCAAAACTGTTTGGAGAGGCTTTCCCCCTCTTATAAGCAGAAGTTGCAGTCTGGTTGAAAAAACTAAAGTGCTTAAAATTTTGCAAAATATAGAAATATCTAAAACCCTTTGCCAAGTTCCTGTTTATTAGATGACTTACTAATTCAGTGGTGTCTTTCTGATCCACACTGCCTGTCCCATTGTGGCTGGGGAAGAATCGAGCATATTGTTTTAGTAAAACTTAATGCGGAGATGCTATTTGGTGGAGAATGACATTACAGCACTCCTGCGGCCAGAAGCGAATACTGCATGCTTTTCGCAGCAATGCCATCTCTCAAGTTCGGCCTATGCTTTCTTAGGTATCTAGTTATTTCAAAGCCGCTTTAGCAAAACCTCGTAGCAATTATCCTCCACATCCCCACGGGCTGACATTTAGAAACCCAATTCTAAAGTGTGCAATAATAACTTTTGCCAAACCAACCTTTCAATTTAATAAAATTCAAATACTTTCAAGTACATGTAAATTGGTAAGGTTGTAAAGAAAAAAAATTCTATCAAAGTGTGGCTTTTTTTCCTTTCTTAACAGATGTCCCTTCCCAAATCCCAAGTTTCTGGCTAAAATAACTGTGGTCCTTAAAAGTGACCACACTATCTGTGCCAACAAAGGGTGTACTGTGTTTTTAATTAAAAGTGGAACTACTTAAAGGGCTGGCTAGACAGTGTAGGGTGATAGTAGCTTTTCTGCTTTGCAAGGAAGCTTAAGGATTGCATTGTGAGAGTATTGAAATGAATAGAGATCTAACTCAGGTTGTGTGAATTGTCCCTCTTCACAAACTTAAGCTGGTTTTAATTGATCTCATGTCCACTGATTGATCCTACACCAATTGTTGCGCATACCAAACAATTGGCTTTCCCAAAGGAGACTGATTTAAATTAGTTCCTTGGTGAATGCTTGACTACTAGCCAAATCATGTCAGTAGTGACATTTGACATGCTAGAGCCTATTGTGGTACCACCATTTCCCCTTTTCCCTTTGTTTTGGGTAGTGGCAGTTAAATATTCTTTCTAGGAAGAAAAGTGATTACTACCTTAAAAGAAGGTGTTGTGGCTTAGAATATCAGTTATTTTCTTGGCTTTGTGCTACAATGTAGGCAGAAGTGATACCAGGATTGGTTAGGCTAATGCCTGGGATCTGATTCTTTTTCCCTTTTCATATTCCATCTGCAAATAATCAAACCTTCACTGTGGCGCATTCTCAGAACTCCTCCGGCATTATGTTTAGTCTGCTCTGTGATCTCAGATGCTCTATAATATCATTTTCTTAATGAAATAAAATTCTTGGCAGAAATCAGATAATTTAGTCAGTTAAAATCAATTGCATCCAGTCTGGAATCAAGAGCAAATATATCATTTAATTCTATGTTTTATTTCAAAACATAGCCAGAGGATTGAGAGAACAGAATATTGACCTTCCCGACTTTTGGATAAAACGGTATGGGGAGACCGTCATAAACAGCACCTACTACTCTTTCTTCCCCTTATTTAAAAAACAAAATCATAAGATAAAAATGTATTTGATAATGACTAATAGGGCCTGGAAGCAATAATTTTTAATTAGTCACAAACACAATACTGAGAATGAATATCTTGTAGAGGGGAGACTCATGCTGATGTTTTGAAAGGCTGATTGACAACTCATGTTTTGTCTACATGGTAACAGTCCTAGCTCATTGGCCCCCTCACCCTTCACTCCCCTTCAAAAGCATAGTCGTCATTGGCTACTGTTAACCCTACTGCCTGTATCTGTCTTGGCACCTCTTATGATTTATTTGTACGGTGAAATGGGTTATTTGATTCGTCTTATTTTTTGGAATGGTTGTACGCCACATTTCAGGCTGAATTACTGAAAGGTAGATAGACAAATCATAACTTGATTATGGTCTTCTGGGATTTCTTGAGCTTGGTGTGTAATGACTTAATTTTATATCTTCTTCGTTCTGTTTATATACCCAGTCACATTTTAACCAGAGATTTATGAAAACTTCTTGATAAAACACTTTAAAAGCAGGACTCCCAGACATGTAATTGGTGTTTCTGGTGGTCTAATGGTAGGGATGTAGTATGACAAGTGTTTCCTGCTCTAGCCTTTTCCATACTGAAGTCTCAGCTTCTCCTTCTTCCATAACATCACATTTTTCTAAGATTAGATTTGGCTGCTTCCATGAAACTGAAGTATTTATCATAAATCGTGTGGTGTATTTCTGTCAACTGAGGTTGGTAAAAAACAAACATTTTCTCTTAAACCTTATAGGGCTAAATTAATTTGTATTTTTAAAAATTTAATGAAGAGATTTGGAGATATTTGGTTTTACAAGTACTTCTAATGATAGCTTGTTTCTCGTGGTATTCTTTCAAAATACAAAATGGCACATGGAACGTATTAACCTACCCTTAAATGAAAAAGCTTCAAAATACATTTTGTTTGCTTGCTTTTTTAAGTTCCAGAGTATTTCAGAAAAGCTCATAGGATGTTTAACTTTGCAGCATGAATATGTTCTTTTTTTTCTTTTGTTCTCTTTTGTTAATGGGCTGCTTTTTGTTCCAGCATAATTGAGTTTTTCTGGCCAGTATCTTACCAGTATACAGAGGTCAGAAAGTTGCTGTGCCCCAACCAATGTCTTATTACACTACTGAAATTTGAAAGTGGTTCAGAATAGGTGAGGTTCCCCCAGGCCTCCATTTAATTCTGGCTTTCTTTATCTGCTTATGAATCCAGCTTGGGTAGAAGCCAATATTTGCAGAAATCACAAGTTGGAAATGATGCTTCTAATTCTTTAATGCAAAACCACCTCTTGATTTATTCAGAGACTAACTCGCCAGTTTATGGATTATCCAGGCTTTTTACTTCTTTCCTTCCACTGACTGCCATTTAAACTTCCTTTTTTTTCTCCTGGAAATAAGCACTCTTACCTCTCCCAAGTCCAGGAAATAGATGACAAATCAGTTAATATAACACTTGATAACCACTCTGCTAAAAGGAGGTGGTAAGCTCTGGGAAGAAAAGAAAGCTTTAAATGGCCCATTTTTTTCAAAATGTCGTGATGGTCATTATTTTTTCCCATTATCTGCAACAATCAAGGATTGAACGTTAGGTAATTACAATGTTGCATGTCCAGAATAAATATAGAAGATGCTAGTTAATACTGAAGTGCATATATAATATAATTATATAGGCTAGGGATGGTATATATACCTAAGTATATGTATGTGTGTATATAGGTGTGTGAGTGTGTGTGGAGAGAGGGGGTGGGGATGGAATAATTATGAAGGATTGGGTTTTTGTACCTAAAAAGGATTTTCGCTCATCTTTCCCAGTTCTTCTTTTCATCTTTCTTTCAGACAGGAT